GTTTTTCAACCGTCGTTGCAGAAGAGGTAGCATCAGTTGTTTGACCAGAGGGACTTTTATTTTCTTTAACAGTGTGCTCCAAGCCTTGAGCTTTCAAATTCATCATTGCGTCCACTTTCCATTCCAGAAATTTCTTTCCAGATAAATCTAAGATGTTGAACTGTCTTTTCATAAGGTCTCCCATTTTAGCTACAACAAATTTCGTGATAATTAGTTTATAATAACAAATTATATGTACAACTCACATGTTTAGTTCTTCCATATTTATAATTAAGTTAATAAGACACGTGATAATTAAATTTAATAATAATAAACCATAAATAATATAGTCTTTTCTCCCCCTTGGTTTATTATTGTGAGTAATTATATGATTAGACAAAAATTAATCATGTTAGTTGCAAAAAAAACAGCAAAACGACAACAATGACAGTAGTAACAATAATTATAATGATAACGGTAATATTATACAATGATGATTAATAACAACAAGCATACATAATAAAACAAAAACAAGCTTTTAATATACTAAAACGACAAAATAAGTGAGTTTTACTTATACATTATGACAAAAATTAATATTGCTACTAATAAAATTACAAGTGCCGTAATTAGAAGGAAATATTGTTTTATCTTCATTAAATCTTCCTCAAAAGTGAAGTTGTGGGTGTTTTGGGTGTTTTGGTTGCCGTCGTCGGGGAACATATCGGAGAAGAAGGGGGTGAATTTTTTTTTATTTTTTTATTTAGGTGATTTTTGGATAAAAAGTGGGAAGGGATAAGGGATTTGTGGTGAAATTGGGGGAAAAATCCGTCTTTTATAGAGGTAGGTTTATCCGTTACTGTTCTGTACAACTGTAAAAATATCATATAATAGTTTAACGTACTGGCATAAAATTATGGTCCATATATATATATTTATAATTGTAAAAGGTTATCACACTGGGAATGCAAGCCATAGTGGTCCGAGAGCCCTAATATCTATAAAAGATCATGGGTTCGAAAACGGAAAGAAACACAAAAAGTATGTAAAAGTAAGAAAAATAATAAGTATAAAAGGCTGCATCTTTTTGTTAATCTAGTTAATAATAATATGCATGCAAAGCTACTACTTAGCAATTATAATAACTAAGATAAAAATTTACGTAAAATGAGTATGTAATATCAACATGGATCAAACAAAGAAACATCAACATGAATAAACAAAAGATGATAGTAGTAAATTCACAAGTAAGAGAACTTTCACCGTTGTTTTTGAGGTATATATAGTAAATGTTTGAGTTTCTGTTATAGAGGATCCCAAATATGGGCAACTATAGAGCATACTCCTCGAAATATTTAGAAGTAGATAGTATTATTTGTTATAAATTTTTAGAAGTAGGTATAAATATACCTGACTGAAAACTGGTGCTGATAACGTGTTAAATGTTTACCGATAGAAAGTCTTTAATCAGTGAAAGGAGAAAGTGAAGGAGAAGAAGTAAAGAGGATGAGTGAAATTGTAGTATGTTATCATTGTATTCTTACTTCTATGGCATTGTATTTATAGCCATGAGTTACACTAATAATACAATAATTACTCACATAGAGCCATATGAGTTCACAAGTGTTTGGACCTATATGAGCATTGTGTAATCAAATCAATAATTGGCATTCACTTATTAGACTTATCTTCTAACATTAATTGTATTATTATTAAAAGTGTACATGCCACACGGCACAACCGGTTGTTAGGATCCATTTAATCCTCAAACCCAAGTACATCCGACTTAATCGACTTCCAACTCGAACCATACCCGAACCCTTGCCCATACCCAAACCCAACCCCTACACCACACCCAAACCCGAACCCGAACGCAAGATGAAGATGATTCCAAAGTCCAGTATTAAACCCAGCTCCACCTACCAACCCAAAACCCAGCCCAACACCACACCCAACACCAGCCCCAGCTCCCGGGCCCAAAACGTAGGTATCAGTTGCAGCGTTTTTCCGGCGATTCGTACCGAAAAGGTCGGGAGCAGAGAATCGTTTCTCGTCAAACTTCCATTTACTGAGTTTGTTGTTTTTGTTGGGTTGATGTTGTTTCCAATTCCAGAAAGAGTCAACGGGGTCAACCTTACGAAGAAAATCGATGCTGCTTCTATCTCTGTCGGAGAAAGCCATTGGTGTAGAACAGTGATTGTTGAGCGTAACTTTGTGATTTGAATGGATAAGGCCTTCGAAATTGAGAGTTTGATTTTTTGCTATTTTTAGATCTGCGAAATAATAGGAAACATCCACTTTTTATTACTCCAGTAATCTAGGTGTTCACAAAACTGGGTTTTGGGCCTTGTTTAGATTACTAGCGTTGGTTCACTTTAAACTTTAAAGGACTCGTCGGATATTTAGTACAAATGTGTAATTCTTAACCTTCCGTCTATTCACCTTATTTTCGCATAATTGAAATAAATAAAATTTAAGGAAATTAAAATTAATATGTTTTGATTTAAGTAAAGCATAAAGGGTTAATTAAGGGTCTTTTCTCTTCTTTCTTTCAAAAAAAAAAAGGGTCTTTTCTCTTCACTTTAATTTCAGTTTAGCTCCAATAAGTTCATTTCAGTTCTCAATTTTTTTTCTCTCATAAACAATTCAATTCAGTTTAGTTCAACTCCAATCAGTTCAGTTCAGTTCAGCTCAATTCAGTAAATCAGAACAAGCCCTAAATTTAATTTACAACTAAATAAGTTTACAATTCTTTCATGTTTAGATAAGTGAAATTAGTTGGATGATATGCACTCTAAAAGTTTTTTTTTTTTTGAAGAAGATTAGACAGGGATTATATTGCAAATCAAGATTAGACAGGAAAATTAGATAGATGAAATACACCCTAAAAATATGTTATTTGCACTTTGTATAAGTTTTGAGCTTAATTCTATGTAGTATTTTATAAATTATAGTTGTTGTTTGACTTTTTTTTTTTTTTTTTGGTGAAAACCATAATTTATTTAATTGTATGATTGATCAACTTATTTTATTGTAAGTTATTGTATTAAAAAAAATTGGAGTTGGAAATGTTATGTTTGGAAATATTTAAAGGACTTTTGATTAGTGCTCCAAAGTCCAAGGTGGTCATTCATTGCTCCATCACTTAGCCGTTATTCATAACATGATTACTCCGTAATAGTTTAAATGTTTAATAGCTTATTTGGGCCAACATACACTACAAAGTTTCAAGTCCAGACTAATATTCAAAGCCCAAGCCCCAACCTTCTTGTATTGGCCCAACTTTCACTTTAGGAGTATTGGCCTAGCCTAGTCACTAGTCAGTGTAATGTGTAATCAACTAATCACCAATTCGTCAATCATCACCATCAAAGTGTTGTTCATTCCATATACATTTTCCCTTCCATCTTAAATTATGTGAATTACTTCCTGTGCAATAACCATCCATGTTATCACGTTATAAACTATGCATTAATCATATATAAGATTATGTTGTATTACGTATGCACTAATTGTTGTAAAGATTTTTTTGGTATTACGTGTTATAACAATACCACCACATCATCCATGTTATCATGTTACAGATTACGAGAATGATTTTTATCATTTTTAAGTTAAAATATTAGTATATTTTTTGCTGACACTTCTCTGATATTGAATTTTTATACCCAATTCAATGACTTCTCTAACTAGTTAATCGCTTCAATTGTTGTAACACCAGATTACCAGCAATGTTTAAGCAGTATATACAACATAGCTCATGCTAATTAAAGCTTCTTAAGAACATGATGACGTATTGGCGTATTGCTGGTCTCAAAAAAGTTTCACTAAGTCAATTTGATTATGCGAAAATATTATGCTTTAATTTAATTAATCTTCTTTTGATGATTGTGCTGACGTTATTTGGTCTGATGAAATTTTCAGCAAAGAGATGCTTTAACCAATTTTAACATGTTTACTTTAAGGTTGGAATCAAAGCTAGAGAACTTACTAGGAAGTGTAGCAATATGAATTCTATACCGCTTCTTTATTTAATTTAAATCATTCACTCTTAATTTGCACATTTTGTAAGTTGATTGTTGATTATTATAACTAGCATTTACTCAATTTAGTTTCCAGCTGAATGGTATGGTCATGTTCAATTGTCCACTCCTACGACTTAATGTAAGTTTCTTTCTCATATACGGAATAATTGTTATAGTTGACTTTTACACAATTTATATAATAGTACATCTACTAGAATTGAAGTAGTAAAATGATTTGAGAGCTTATTATCATCTTTTTCGCCAAATATACATCTAAAGGTGTCATTTAATATATATATATTTTTTTTTTTTAAAAAAAAAACTAAGATGGTCCCTAGCAAATTTTCGCAAATAAATGTGTCAAAAAAAGACATTTATATTCAAATACTCCGTAAGTAATTATCCTCTACATCTCCTACTTTTATGTCCTTTATATCCACTAAGAAACCATGATATTTTTGGTAAATTATATTCTATGGAGCATTTATATTGTACAATACCCTATGTCTAATCAAACAACCACTAGAAAAATATAAATAACAAATGATGTAGCGTTTAATAATTCAAACACAACTAACACATGATATTCCTACAAGATAAATGTAATTATTGACCTAATTAGTCATACTAAACGAGCTTTCATAATACTAAAATGTATATAACCACGTATACAAAAAAAGTTGACAAAATCATAATAATTTCAGCAGCATAAATATTTGTTAGGCACGCAAAATCCTAATTGAAACACGAGTTTTCAAACCGGCCTTTGTGGACTTTTTGAATAATAATATTGACCCAGTTAAAGCCAAGCTCCTTACATTTACATCAATTCAGCGGAGTTTGCGTCACTATATAAAACAACAGACAACCCATTTATATTTATTATATAGTTTTATACCCACATAAATTAGCCGCTTATATAACACCTTACCTTATCTTTCTTATTTATACAACTTATATTCTTACACATTCTCCAAATACAAAAAAAAAAAAAAAATGGAGAAAATATCTAGGCCTTTTAATGGGAGTAACTATTGGAAGAAAAATGGGTACAATCTCTTAGATGGAGCTAGTGAAACAAAGAGGAACATACAAGTAGTGAAGATCAAAGGCGGATCAAACGACTCTACTACCAGAAATTTTAGGAGGTTTTGGAGGATTAAAAAGACGCTAAAGTTTAAGAGTCTAAGGAAGACAATTACTCATACGCCAAAGAAACTATGGCATACGTTCAAAAATGGGTACGTAAATATGATGTTAAAAATAGCCGGCGGAGTAGGGCAGATTGATGGAGGTGTTGAGTTTGAGAATAAGAGGATTTCACAAGCTAAACATTTTAAGATTAAGTATAAGAATCAAGATGATTTTGAAGCTAGGCTTGTTTTTGAGATTTACAAGTCGTTGAGTACTTCTAAAGGGTTGTCTGAAATTGCTTAGTAAGATAAGATACGTGTTGTTGTTGTAGTTTTTATTTATTTATTTTAATTTTTAATTTTTGCATTTAGGCTTGTCACTCGTGTAATTGCACTTGAGAGCCTTTGAGATGCGTTTTAAAATTTTGCACATGGTTAAATTAGAAACTAATAATCATGTCAATTCAAGAAAAATTGTAAATTTTCTTCACATATATCTTTATTAGAAATAATATTACGTGAAGAACTTGTGTTAATTGTGCATAAATTGTGAATTATCTCATGTGAATGTTAATACTTTTGCAAGACAAGTTCAACACGAAAACTTCAAATGAGTAACTAGTAGAATTGGACTCGATCATGTTGCTCAGTTTGGTTTGTGACGTAGGAAGATTAGGGGCTTAATTCAACGAAGAAGTTCACCGTTGCAAAGTTTGATTTTAATTTTTAATGGTCATGATTTCTATCAGTCCGGCTCTTAAAGTCAGATTACTTGATAAAATATATTTTCGGAAATGGAAATGGGTCAACGAGTCCAACTTACAGCTTTATGAAAGACAGGTTTTTTAAGCCATCCGAATTTGTTTAAGACTCGAAAATAGTGTATAAAACATTTTTAGGATTTTAATTTTGGCTTTATTTTCGTATTAGGGCTTTAGGATGTTAATATTCAGATTTGACGTTTTAATAATATTCATAAGAGTTTTTACTTTTTTCTAGTGAATTTCGGAGTTTTTACAGATTTATCACTTGTAAATCTGTTGGTTAGTATTAGGAATTGCGCTTGCTTTTCCTCCATTAATTCTGACTACGTCAGTTTGGGTCATATTTATTCTAGATGCTAAGCATTTCGATTCTATTTCTGTTCTTATACGAGTGTGTCAATCAACTTATCATAATAAAACAATTTATATAAGTCGTATCATTTTTGTAAATTAAATCGAGTAGCCTCAAGTCTAGAAGCATTTTTATGTGGAGACTGGAGAAGATGCTCATCAACTTTCAAAATTAGACTGCGGATAACAACAGATATTATTATTTATTACATTAAATTTGCTTGGAAAATTCAACTTCAACACCTCAGAAAGAAAGGTTTGGTGTGGAAATAAAAATTTCAGGTTTGTAACAAGTTCTATTATATCCTTTTTTTACTTATATAGTAAAGAAAAGATTTTATCTCTCCACCAAAATTATTAAACAATTAGAGGTAATAATAAAATTGGAAAAAGTAAAGAAGATTAATCAGACTTTGGTAGCCGCTATTAGCTATAATACTAATAGATTTTGAATAGTAACCATATATAGCTTAGGCTTGAATCTTCATATTAAATGACACTTCTCTTAACATGATGTATAACTATTATTGTAGCAATGATTTAATTTGTGAGCATTTACAAAAAAAAAATTAATATAATTAGAAGTCTAGCTCAATCAATCAATTTTAAACCAAACTAAGGAATACACCAAAATTTGGTTGGATTTCATGTATCAAATTTTTTTTTCATTGATGCCTATTGATGAGTCTTTGTATGATAATAAAGTCATAAGATAAGTCTCGCTTAACTCTCTATTAGGGAATCTCGTATGTCTTTTCTCCATGATACCTCCAACTTACGTAATATGTCAATTACAGTGATTAGATTATTATGGTATTGTGTGTAAAAATTTTGTTGTTTACTTGTTGGGTTGACTGATTTAAATTGAAGTACTTACTAGATGATAATTTTCACCTCGAGGTTCTTGTGTGACACACCATAAACATTTACTATTGTCAAAGTTCTAATTATATTCTCTTTCAAGTCTCAAAAGAAAATTCTCGACCAAAATATCCAATTTAAAACATATATACGAAGTATAACCTCATTAAGTACGTTTTTAGTTGAAATTGAACATTTTCTAATTAATTGTTTATTTCTCGTATTAATTATTTATTTACGTAATGGTTGAATGCATAATTTGGTTTGCTTTAAATTAGAGTAAAATCGCTAAGATATAAGACAAACCATTGCGTTGAGAGGTCAATTAGCATCTAGATAAGCATTGAACAAATTGGTAAACGGAGTAACGACTAAAACAACAAATAAATACATATCACGATCGAACTGCACAAATTAGTTAGGACCACAGTAGAAAAAACATGGGCAAACTTAATGAAGTACTACAAAAATGAAACTATCATTCTATCAAACTATTGTATATTTGTTTTATTGTTTAATTAATTGATGAATCTTTGAAACAATAATACAACAATTTGTTTGTGAATAATAACAGTCCACGTTATCCTTGCATGCCTTTTTAATAGGGAAAATCTTTTCTCGTGGTGCCTTCATTTGTCACTTTAACAATCTAACCATGTTATTGCTCTAGTCAATTTTATGGAGTATAAATCAATTTTATTTCGTAAATGGTGAGGTGTCATAATTATTGTATAATGGAATACTCCGTATTTAATAAAATAGAGGATTGTGTACTAGGACATCAAATTATCAAATGAAAGAAGTGTGAAAATAATAAGGAACGATCCAAAATGCATAAATATAAGTGTGAAAAATTTAAAGAATGGAAGGAGATTCAGTTAAATTCAATAATAGTAACCTAAAATCATATATTAGACTTCTTATATTGAAATGGAAGTGATTCAAAGAATGATAAGAACTCGTACATACTTTTCTATAATGCTTATTCTTTGTCATAGAAGTTAGAAGTAGGGTTGTTTATTGGTCCGAAAGTTTAAATTTCAAAAATCGAAGACCGGACCAATTAAGCTAGGACCGAACCCAGACCGGACCGAAAAAATCAATTCAAAATCTAGACTGGACCGCTTTAGACCGATTTTAGAATTTGATTTTAAAAATGCTAAATTTTTAATAATATTATGGAAAACTCGAAAAAAAGTATAGGAAAAACTCTACTTTAGCGTCTTTTTTTTGTATGATAAGTACAAAAAAGCTCATATAATTAAAGTTTTCAAAGGTTATAAAGAATAATCTTAACCATTATCAAAGATTTTATGCATAAATTTAAGGAAAAAATAGTCCGATCCAAGACCAGTTTTTATGGGGTTTTGGACTAGACCGGAAAAAATTTCAGACCCAGATCGAGTCTTTTTTTCGATCCGGACCGATTTTTGAACACCCCTAGTTAGAAGTATTATTATTTAAGTTGTCTATGAATGAAGTATCAAGTAGTCAAAAAAAAAAAGTATGTACGTACAAATTTAAAGTTATGATGTTTCTTTTTTAATTTATTGAAAATTTATCTAATAAATAAAACCCAAATTTGTTAGAAACTACGCCTAATAAAAAAAAAATTAAAAAAAAAGTTGTAACAAACCACCTAATAAAGGTAAAATGTTGTAAAAAAAAACTACCTAACAAAAGGTAAAATTAAATATTGTAAAATATTACCTATACCGGATTTCCACCATTGACCGACCTCATCAAAACACTCTCTAAACCACCGCTTTCATTCCCAAAACTAATACAACTTGCTTGATATAGCCTCCACCACACCTAAACCACCTTTCAACCCCAAAACCACCATCCCTAAGCACTCATCTACCCTCACCAACTCGTAATATCCTCTAACCACCCCGAAATAAAATAACCTTACCACCTTGAAAATAAACAACCCTCATCACGGTGGGTTTTAAGGTGGATCAACGTCGTAAAATTAAGTTAACGGTGAAAATTTAGTAAAAGGTATTATCTTACAATATTTTACCTTTTGTTATATAGTTTCGTATATGTTTTTTATTATATAGTTTCTCACAAAATTTCGGTTTTATTGCTAATAGGGAGATAAGATTAAAAAGGTATCGAGGTAGTAACATTTTCATGGAGATCGAAAAGTGACGGTGGTTGGGATGCATAGAAGATTAGCTACCAAACTTGAGAGACATATTGCGAAATAGATCACTTGCATAGGGATGAAACAAAAAACATTGGACGTAAAACTTGTATTGTCTATTTCAGATACACAGTACACGAGCACCAAGAATAAGACAGCTTATGTTACGTTAGTTAGTTACAATTGTGAACAACAAGCAAACAATACTACTATGCCATGATTATTTTCTGTTAGCCTTTCCACCTTTTCTTTTCAAATATTATTTGTCAAAATTAGTTAAAACTCAACCTAATTAATCAAACAACCAAATAATAGTAAATATAAAATAAATTATAAAAGTGTTCCAAATCTAACCAATAAACCTCATGATTGACCCAACGATTGAAGCCTTGAAGCCACCTCCACCCCCTTTTTCTCCTTCTATGTTAAGCAACTTTAATTTTATGCATTTTTATTTCACACTATATATAATTTTTATGGTATGTTACTTTTACTAACATAAAATTTTAATACCATGGATTACAAGAATAGTAATGTTAACAATGATGATTATTATGGTTCTGATGACATTATATCAAACAATATCAAAAACTACTGTTTGTTTAGTAGTACCTCCACCTCCCCTCCTTCCACCCCCTCGGCCACGGCTGCTGACGGATCGACAGCAGCCGGGGCCAGCCTATACCGAGCACGCCTCATCCTCGAAAACCACCTCTATGATGAGCTCCTAAGTAGGTACCGGCTAGCGATCACCCGTCTCAAGGAGCTCAGTAGGGAAGCCACTACCCTACAAGAGGAGAATGAGTGGCTCAAGTTGACTAATGATGATCTCACCCGCCGCCTCAACCGTGCCTTGTCGATCTCGGGACAACCGTGTGTGGATCCTGCTTCGGGTGGTTGGAGTAATAATAACAATACTAGTAGTGGTGATGATAATCATCAAAATAACAATGTGTTTGGTGGTAGTACTAATAGTCCTACTAGTACTGTGATTGATGATTTGGATGAAGAGGATGAGAGGTTTACATTGCCAAAGAGTATATCAGTTAGATCACCGGGTTATTTCAAGCTTGCGAATTCGAATTCGCCTTCTCCGGTGAATCAGTCTCAATATCCATCTCAACATGCCAATGGAACAGTGAGTTTCATACTTGATTAAACTCGTCCCTAAAAAATGCTTCCTTTTTAAAAAAAGATATATACATCGAATTAATTAAATTACTATTTTAGTTGACACGTATTTTAAAATTTGTTTGCGAAATGAATACTGACCTAGTTATAATGAGATTATAATTAACGTGTATTATAATATATATTTATGTGCGTGGTTTTTTATTACGTGCAGATATGTATATTATTGTGTGTAATTAGACGAAGACAAAAATATATAACCCTAGGAAAAAATCAAACTAGTACTTAAAATATGTAAATATGTACGTAATGATTATTTATTGTGACAGATATTGAGGGTGAAAAAAGAAGAGAAAGCAGTAGAGATGGATGTGTTCAACCAAGGCATGTACAAAACCGAGTTATGCAACAAATGGCAAGAAACAGGTACTTGCCCTTATGGACCTCAATGCCAATTTGCCCATGGGGTGGCAGAGCTCCGCCTTGTGATTCGGCACCCGCGATACAAGACTCAGGTCTGCCGTATGGTCCTCTCCGGCGTCTCCTGCCCCTACGGTCACCGCTGCCATTTCCGTCATTCACTTTCCTAAACTCATCACTTATTATTATGTATATTTGTGTTATATGTTTATACTCCGTAATAAGTTCTGAAATCATCAAATAATCTTGTCTTTATTTTTGAAGTTGAGTTATTAGAAGAACGAAAATTAAGTGTTAAAATGTAGTCATGGTTAATGTTATACTTGTTGCTTGTCAATTGCCATATCAATGATGTGGATCTATGTATGTCAATAATCTTATACTCGTATATATATGGTCAAATAATATCATCACTTAAATATTTTATGAATATTGGTAACTTATTGAATACGAAGTATTGTGCTAAGATTGCTAACTTAAGCAAGTGTATTGGGCAAAATATTTAAGTGTTGGGTGAATTCATTTATTAAAATGAAAAAAAAAGATGGGTGGGCCGGACGATATGTAGGCCGAATTTTGGGCTTTTGTTCATTCTTCCGATCCAGAGACTGAAAAAAGGCGCCCAAGCACTTGTTATAATTTCAAGTAAGCCCAATAATTTCAAGTAAGCCCAAAAACAGTTGGAACAAGGTTTGGCAAAGGTGGTCTTTTCACTCTTTTGCTTGTTTGGACACTAAAGCTAAATGTTTAAGAAGAGTTTCTACAAATTCTAAGTCCAGTTTCTAACTTACTACTGTCATTCTAAAAACTCAAGAATGGAAATTTGAATCTGTAACCTATCGTACACACTGCACAGTCAAGTAGGCCATCACTATTTGTTAATGAGGCCAAGGCTCATTGATTCACTCTATAATTGTGTTAGACGACGATTTGAATAAATTGTTTGATTTTCAACTTGTTTGAATACATTTGGGTAATTAACATTATGGTGAGTTGGAATAAAGGAATAGGAAATTTTCTTCTTTTGGCTTACTTAAAGGGGAGATAAAAGTTTGAATTTGGATAGACCATTATCAGATTTCATTGAAAGGAGGTTCGCAAAGTTTGTTCATTGATATTCTTTTCCTAAAAGATATTTTGTAGATAACTTTCTCATTTTGGCAGAATTCTATGTTCGCCATAGATATGTGATAACTAATGGAATAGAATTTATACTTGTAGTTCTAGATGCTAAGCTAATTTGACTAGAAAGGCAGTTATGTCAAGATAATTAGTTGTTCCATTGGTTTACAGGTTGTCTTTGTCTTTGTTTGTTGTTTGCATAGTTTTTAATAAATATATTTGAAATTTTAAAACGGTATTAAGTAAGTGGTGCAAACCTTTAAAAATTTGTCTTTATACATATAAACAAATTTAAGTAATAAGATTCAACGTGATTATGTTTTTCTTACATAATCGACAAATTCTTATGATTAAATGATTAATATTACAGCTTTAGTATATTCGAATTCAAAAATAGGAACACCTTATAAAAACGTAGGGGAACGCAATTTGCTAGTTGTTTTCTCATTGCGGTTAAATATTACTACAAAAAAATAATAATATAAAAAAAAAATAAAAAAAAAAGAAAGTGAAATAAATAGAGTATCTTCAACTTAGAAGTACAGCAACGTTGTAAATAGATTAATTCCTTAACTATAACAATAATTATAATGCTCTAAATTCTCATACCATCACAAATAATTGACTATTGCACGTCATTAAGAATAATTTCCCTCCTAGATATATGACATATCGAAACATATCATGAATTGACTCAGCTCGGAAAAAAGTTTATGTTCCACATTATTCTACACCCAACAAAAAGGAATTTTCATGTTACATCTATACATCACATAGGAATTGCCAACTCTTGAAATGTAAACCATGCATGTTTATTTGCCCTTAAATTCAAGATTCATTCTTCATCAAGTGCCATACAATGAAGCAAAATATGCTTATGATAAAAAATTAAAAGTGTGTTTTCTTTTCATTAAGATATCTTTTTTACTTTAAATTATTATATGCTTTGGCATGAATTGAAATGAAAATTAAAGTATGTATCCCTCCAATAATAATACTTGTATTATGAAAGTTGAAGAAAAATAAATAAATAAGGATTTTTAACTAGAGATTCTTATCAACTATGGCCTACGGTTGGTCTCTTCTTGACGGACTTATAAGCACTTTGGTATTCCCCAGAAAGGAATAATACGCGCTCCACCAATTTTGGGATAGTCCAAATTTTTTGGGTCCCCGATTTCTATACCCTACACAGCCAGTGAACAGGGTGTGCTCCTTTTCCTTAATTTTTTTAAATTATTATTTTTATAATTATTTTTATTTTACATTTTTTATTTATTATAAAATTAGGATTTGCCATCAAATTTTATAATTTGATTTTTGTGAATATAATTGGTTTTGGGACCTTAGCACATGTATCTAACTTTCTTAAAAGACAAGTTCAATATAATATTAAAAAAGATTTTCAACGTACCGTAAGTAGTGAACGGATGACATTTAAAGAGATAGTATAATTGTTGTAAAAATTTGAATTTTGCCATTTTTCATCAACATGTGTTCATATTTAGATGATTCTCATTCGTCTCCTTCCCCCTTTATCTCCTCCCTTGGTCACCGGTGACCTAATAGAAGGATTACGAATTTCTTTACTAAAACATATTTTGAGTTTCAATTTTTTTTTAAAAGAATTAGTAAAAGTTTTCTCATAATGACAACCACTTTGTATTCGTATAAAATCAAAGAATATCTCAAATTCTACAAGTACATAAAGATTAGTGTTGTCATGGATTCTATATTGATTGTCCTGAGAGAAATAATTTTGATACAATTTAGTGTGGGTAAATGGTACGGAGTACTTTGTAATATTATAAAAATTATATTGTATATATAATACAAAGGTATATTTATAAAAACAATTTTTTTTTTTTGGTAGTCCAATGTAACACAATATTTGTACCATGGAAATATGGAAGAAGGATCTAACATTCTTGACTTTTATTTTTTATACTATATAACCATCTATTTACTTAGGGTCTGTTCACGTTTACTTAATTTCAGTTCAGTCCAGTTCAACTTCAATTAGTTCAGTTCAGTTCAGCTCCTAATTTTCCTCTCTCATGAAATATTCATTTCAGCTCAAATGAGTTCAGTTCAGTTCAGCTCCAATCAGTTCAGTTCAGTTCAGTTCAGCTCCAATCAGTTTAGTTCAGTTCAATTCAGTAAATGTGAACAGACCCTTAATTAACTACTTAAAATGGTAAGATTGACATGTATTAGTTACGTTAAACCAAGTTAAGCTTGGTCTAGATAGTAGGTTCACCTTCCAACCTTAAGGTTAATGGTCCATTTCCCTACTAAAGGTGCATTGAGGGTGAGATCCCTTATTCTCCCCTCACTCTCAAGTGTCTAATCCATAAATCGGAAAAAAAAAATAATAACAAAAAAAAAAAAAAAAACGTGAAGGTTGAGGTCTGATTAAACAATTTAAACTATAGTCTCCATTGTCAATTTTGAAGGGGCTTCCATCGGATTTCACCAGTGGAAAGCCCCGATCTTTATTTTCTTTTTAGTTTTTTTTGTTTTTTAGGTTACAATAATGTCTCCCTAAAAAAAAGGGTTTATCTCCTTCGAAAGACAAGGTTTTTCGGACTTATTCGAAAGACAAGGTTTTATTTGTGTGTTTAGTTTGGTCTCCGGTTTTGCGGGACTACGATTGATTATGGCTCAGATTTGGGTTACAGAATCAACACAAGAATTTACTTTCTCCCAAAATTGCAAAGCGACGACAGATCCACTCAAAAAGTTGTAAGAGACAACAAATTAAGATTGTGCCGAATTGTTATATTCATGTATTTGGATTCTTATCCCTTCCCCGATAAATTCCTGTTTGATTTTGTTAAATTCGTTTTCATTATTGTTATTGTCAATTGTAGATGTCGTATGACTTTAATTAATGAAATTTAGGGCCTGTTCACATTTATAGAACTGAACTGATTGGAGCTGAATTGAACTGAACTGAGCTGAAATGAATATTTTATGAGAGAAAAATAAATTAGGAGCTAAACTGAACTAAACTGAACTGATTGGAGCTAAATTGAACTGAAATTAAGTAAATGTGCAAAGGCCCTTAATGTCCTTTGAGACTTTTTCAAAAATAAATAGATAAATAAATCTTTATAATTTTTCTTACCTTAAATAAAATTTTAAAATCAACAATAGTAAAATTAAGTGGTATCATAAAATTATCTTTATTTAAGTATTCCATATTTTTAAGGATTTTTTGTGAAAAACTACCTTTTATATACAACTTTTTGTGAAAAACTACCTTTTAAAAAAAATGTTGTAAATGACTACCTCTTTTTTAAAAATGTTGTAAATGACTACCGCTTGCCGGAATCTGGCCTTTGACTCACTATTCCGGCGTTGACCACCCCATGTGGCGGCCTTTTCTCGCTTTCGACCACCCTCACCCCCTCCTCCTCCTCCATTTTCTAGTTTTCGAGCACCCGTACCCCTTCGCCGTCACCTTCCCCTCCCTTGTCCAGTTTCCGACCACCCCTACACACTTCCGAGTTCTGACCACCCCTACACACTTCCGAGTTTCGACTGCCGCGCTTGTTGCCCCTCCGCCTCCCTTTTCCAATTTCCGGCCATCCCCCACCCCTTGCAGCGCTCCTTTCCCCTAGCCCTCCTTAACCCTTATTGCAGCCCTAGCCTCAAATAAATTATCAATTTCCGGGCACTCCCCTCCCTACATACCCCCACTTCCATTGAATCCGGCAGCCCTTTCCTTGCCAACCCCCATCAATTTACTACTCAACATTCCCCCGAACACCTTGAAACCCTTCCCCTTTCCCTCGATTCTTGCTTTCCGACCAACCCCTCAAATAAATTATTAATTTTTAGTTAAATTTCATCCCACCCACGCATCAAAAACCCTCGAAATCCAGCCCACCATCCTTCAATTCGACCCCCTCAAAAACCAGATCGCCTTCCTTTCCTTTCCTTTCCTCAATTGAGGAGTTATGATGTTGTTGTTTGAGGGTCGCGGAATTAGGGAGCGATTGAGGGTTTGTGTTGGATTTGCCGGGGTGGAGGCGGTTTCAAGTGGGGTTGGGTTGTTTTTAGGATGCGTGGGGGCGGTTGTAAGGGTGTTTTGAGGTGGGTTGAGGTGGTGTGGTGGTGGGGCGGTGGTCAAGATGGCAGCATTGCCGGTGGTGCATGCATAGAAAAGAAAAAGGAAAAAAATAAAGGTCATGTGACCGGCACGTG